TAATTACATAACTCCATATTTATAATTCTTAAAGTGCTTGTTCACAGAGAACCATATCCATAATTGCATAATTACACATCCATAATTTCAAAACTATATATCCATAACTTCATAACTATATATCCATAACTTCATAACTATATATTTAGACTTGCATAACTACTATATATTCATAATTACACGTCGATTGGAGTTTTTGTAAAATAAATAAATAAATAAATAAAAAAGAATTATTTGATTGGTGGAGTTAAACGGTGCCACTAATGGCACCGTTACTCTATCATAGTAAACGGTGTCGTTTTACAACCGTGTGCACCATGCAAAGCATAATTTGCGGTCTTCACATAGAGATTTAATTATCACACGTGGAGGATAATACAATATTACAATATATAATGTTTGGGTGAAATTTTACAATGTCTAATAGTAATAATGTCAATTATTGTAAATAATTATAAAAAAAAAAATACACTAGGCCATAATCATATTTTTTTTTTATGATAAAAGAGAAATTCACAATCACTACTCGAGGGTATATATATGCATTGTTTAAATTAAACTTTTTTCTTATGTAATAGCTCAAAAAGTAAACTGTAGCAGGAAGACTCTATACGATGTGCTTAACCAAAAGAGTTGACTATAATTAAACTATAATTGGTCATAGATGTGAAGTTTGGAAGAATAACCCTAGCATTGTGGGAGCAACCTCTCAAAGTGAGGGGCTCCTTGTGCGCAGTAAGCAAAGGTCTAGCCTCTGTGGTTCAGTTAAATTACCATGATTTACATCCTCCCAGATGCTCTGTCGGGTCAGGGTGTAAGGGACCCTTAATTAGGATTGGAAATTCAACCTTTTAGGAAGAATAATTTAACTATAACTTTCTGATACAAAGTTCATATTCCAAATTTGGTCACTATTTGTTGTGTGGTTAATTTTTAGTCCTAACAAGGTGAGTGAGACATGAAAATGTGAAAAGCTTCATTGGACGGTTGCGATAAGGCTAGATTCCTTTTATGTCATCTTCATTGATCACTAAATATTATTAACGTCAATCTGATGTAACACTTGCAAAGAGTATACCTAAGGTAGCGTTTCAAAAATAAGTCAATAGTTTCTTAATTTTTTTTTATTTTTATCTTTATTATTTTAAATAAATGACATCTTTTACCCCTTTTAATTAAAATCCTTTTGACATTTTAAATAAATCCATTATGCTTGAATATTTAAAGTTTACTGTGCTGAATTTAGTTCATGAAAATGAATCCATTATGCTTGAAATTTTTTGTTACTTTATTATGTGATGCTAGATCATGATTATGCTAAAAATTTCATTTAAAAATGTTAAATTTTAATAGGTAAACAAACCTATTTAAATTTTATGAAAATGTCATTTTTAGTTTAGTCGTTTTACATTTATCAACTTCTAGCTTATAGCTTTTCAGTTAGGTTTGTCAAACATAGTCATACGCAACATTTTATTTGGACAGTTTTAAGGAAACTTTTAATCATTCTTTCAAAATTTGTATATAATGTATTTATAAAATCTATTAGACATAGTAAAAAATAAAATAAACTATTTCAAATATTAAAAAAAAAAAGCCAATTAACAAATATTTGAATGTATTAAATTTAATATTTGAACCATTTAAAAACTATTTTTACTCTAAAATTGCGAGTTTTAATGTAAATCATAATCTTTATTTTTAGTGTTGGTTTTCTTTACTATTTTCTTTGTGGTATCAAAAATAATTTTTTACTATTTATTATAAAGAGTATGCAATGGGCTCGATTGAGAAAGTTCACAAGAATCAAAATCTACTCTATCCACTTGGTCACCCCTTTCATGCATTATTATTATTATTATTATTATTATTATTATTATTATTATTAATATTATTATTAATATTATTATTATTATTATTATTATTATTATTATTATTATTATTATTATTATTATATTTTTAATTTTTTTTTTGGGTGCTGCTTATGCATCACAACTTGTTAATTGGACAAAAAAGAAATATGCTTTTCCTGAATAATACGACTAATTGGACGATATTGTTTAATCCAATTGTCACATCGATTAATCATAATGATTTTGCGTAACTCTTAATAATCAATTTCAAAGGCAGTCTATTCGGGGAGAATAAGATTATGATTGATGTATTTGGATAATGAAATAAGTTTGTTTCAAACATTTGAATAAGAAGTGTAACTCGAATCAAACACGTAATAATTGTAATAGGTTCAAGTGGGAGAAGACTTTTTTTTTCTAAAAAAAATTAAAAAAAATTAGGTGATGAGTGGTAATTTCAATTTCGTCGGACTAATTCTTCTTCCACAGGACCACGTTATTGGATCTATTACAGAGATAAATCGCGAGCCACACAATCATTCTATCGGTCAAATGAGAGAAATATTTTTATTGTTCCAAAAGGGTAGTCGAGACTCGAGTGGGTATAATATAATTCTCATACCAAATGGTCAGGAGTGGTCGAGTGGGTAAAATATATATAATTGTCATACTGAATGGTCACGAGCGACTTTGTTGATTATTACACAGAAGTAGAGTCTATCCAGTGTATTCCATGTTATTACACAGGAGCATAATTTATTCAGTGCACACCACCGAAAAATACATTATGTGCATATAAAATGCATTTTCTGATTACTAATGAATTTAATAAATCCGATAGTAAGATAGTAAAAGTAGGTAAATAAATATGGTAATCAATATCAAACCAATTAATATAGTACAAAATTTGCCAATAAACAATTCTATATATACAAATACAATATTTTACGTGTAACATAAATAATAATCCTAAATTTAATTATTCTAATAATATTAATGAAATAATCTATGTCTTGAAAAACCCAAAGTGCAGGTTGAATTAGTGCTCCATCTTCCACTACCAAAGTGACTTCCTTGGAATCATGATTATAGAAGAAGTGGGAAGGAATAAGGTACAAAAAGTTAAACTCGATAGTGATTCTTCGTTTGTAATTTAAAGAATTGAATATTTTTTATTTCAATTGAAAATTGTCCTCAACCATAGATTGTATTAAAGTTGTTTAAAACTTTCATCAATATTTTTTGATGATCAGTAATACTAACTACTTTTAATTATCGATTAAAATTACCAATAAGAATTTTTTTAGATACCTAAAGTGGTTAAAAACTTAATTTTTGACCTCAAACTCTAGATTTTCGATCAGTTTACATATTGTTTGAAAAGATTGATACTTTGGTGTATAGTTAAATGTGAGCACATAAACAGGATTAAGCATTTAAGTGGATAGATTAGGTGGCCGACCAAGATGTTAATGAACATGTTAAGGAATGCTGATTGGGCTCAGCTAAAAGTCACATAATGTTTCGTCAGACTCACTTCTTGGTAGCTATATCGCAAATTATTGTGGGTCAAGGTTAATTATGCGCATTGTGAATTTTGGTCTTGATTATGTATTTGTAGTTAACATATTATGTACTTTTAGTCAGTATTGTAAAAATTGGCCTATGTGTCCCTAATCTGAAGTGATTTCAGTTCTAGGTAACTTTTAGTTGGCCGGCTGACTAACCGATCGACTAGGCGCCGAGTTGGACGCCTAATTCGGCCGAGTTGGACGCCTAACTCGGCCGAGTTGGACGCCTAACTCGGCCGAGTTGGTGTTCAACTCGGTTGAGTGGTTTGTTTTGCAGTTGACTAGTTTGAGAGATTATAACAGTCTAACAACTCCCAATCCTAAGTGAGAAAAGTGGAGACGATATTCTTGTATTACTTAGCTGTCTAGTCACTCTAGGCGCTAAGCACCCCTCAGGCGCCCGTTAATATACTTGTAATAAATAAATTAAAATTGCATAATACATTAATTGCAACTGAATGTAAATATAATAGGTTAATTATTACAACTACTTAATGATCTGGACAAAATTCATAATGTATATGCTGATTTTGTCTATGATATAACTATTGCAGCTATATTCTCCCGCCATGTTTGGGGTTCTGTTGTGAATTGTGATGGCAATTCACTTTAATGACTATACCAATGTACCATGAGTGACATTACAATGCCAAATTGACAATACCCTCTTACTCCACTACTCAATTTGTCACTCACTTTGTAATATTTTTTTCTTTTCCACGCATAATAAGGAGAATTGATATCAAGATATCTTATAGACAAACTCACATCTGTCGCTATATTACAAGATTCTTAATTATTATTATTATGTTAACCTAACTTCGATGGACTAATTAGAAGTCGCACAATCAGCTTAGCGGTGAGATCTTGATTTTCATCATGTGCGCACAAGGTATCCAATTCACACCGTTCATCACCCTGAACCTTTTCTTCTGTTTATGTTTCTTATGGGATTCGAACCTCCACACTATCGTCTTCAGTCATGACATCAAGTTTGACAATGAACTACTATGTTAAGACTCGAGGACTAGCTTAAGTATTAGTGTTGTCCGGGATGGTTATTGGTTAGCATTGAGTCGCACTAGCAAAAAAGAAGGGATATTCCCTCAAAAGGTATAGTTTAGTGGGTAAAGTATGATTCTCATTCTTAAGTTCCTGAGTTTAATTATTGTTAATATACTCCACTTGATTTTTATAATGGATGGAAACTTAAATAACTAAGTCAGCTTGTAATAGAGCCAGTAGCATTCAAAAAAAAAAAAAATAACTAAGTCAGCATCCTGTGTGTGGTCATAAGATCAAGCCTCAGTGGAAGCGTTGTTGACTCTATGTGTTTCATTAAATTGAGAAAATATGTATAACAGATACTAAAATGTAATAATAAATTTTGAGGAGCATCTGTCAAATACAATGACGCATGCTGCACTTGATTATTATATGTCGAGGAGACACGACACATTTTGCGAACGCTACAAGACTATGAAATAATGTGTGGCCCATAATATACTGATATGTTGTGTGGACACTCCTCATGACTGCTTAGCTTCATCTACTTATAGCCAGCCAACTAATTACTCCCATTATTCCTCACTCCTAAGTTCTCTTCCTATTCCATTTTTTTCTTTTTCTTCCTTCAATTTAATTATCATGGAAGCCAACAAAGGGTATACACAAGATGGCACTGTTGATCTTCATGGACAGCCTGTCCTCTCAGACAAAACTGGCAAATGGAAAGCCTGCGCTTTCCTCGTTGGTATGCATCACAAATTCTATCTATCTCTCTTATTAATCTTAGGTTTCTGCTTGAGTGTTGGTCGGCAAATTATATCGTGCACTGCGGTCTATGATATAACGACTGGTGCTGGTCAATGTATGGTAGGAAAGCCTGCATGGGCAATTCAGTTAGTCACAAGGGTGAAGTTTGGAAACAATGACCCGAGATAAGTCTCACGAGCGACACTATGAGCAACTTCTCAAAGTGAGGAGGGCTCAGATCCTTGTGTGCAATAGGCGTGTACAGCTGAGTTACCATGATTTACATTCTCCCAGATGCTCTGATCTGTTGAGCCAGGGCGTGAGGGGTCTTAGAGTTCAATTATCAGTTAACTAGGACAACCCAACTTATAGGATAGTAGAGTTAGGGTTTGGACTTAGGTTTATCAACAAATGTGTTAATATTGATATTGTGCATTACTTATCAGTTAATTTTGACAACTCGACCTATTAGGACTATACATTGAGATCATGTATCATATGACTGTTTGATTCATGTATCCTAGGTTATGAAGCATTTGAGAGGATGGCTTTCTATGGAATAGCTTCAAACTTGGTGGTTTACTTGACAACCCAACTCCATGAAGAAACCGTTGCATCAGTTAGGAACGTCAACAATTGGTCCGGCGTGGTATGGATCACCCCTCTCCTCGGCGCCTACGTGGCCGACGCTTACCTGGGTCGATTTTGGACTTTTACTATCTCGTCCTTCATTTATGTCATTGTAAGTACATCATATCATAACACGCATTTCATATTAATTAAAAATTTTAGTTAGTAAATTAAAGAATAAAATGTGATGAATATAGTGGCATTTATGTGAATGATGACTCAATTTTAGAATAGGAACGTAACCATGGAGGGGATGCCGTGCAAGTGCATGCTGATTCCTAGACCACTTAGATAAGATTTGTATATATTGAGGTTGCCCATATTTGGGTTGGCCAATATAATTATTACAAGGCTTTTTTTATTGTGTGGGGCATAAAATATAATAATGATCAAGAATGACATGTAGAAAGGCTCACCACATGCATATATATGATTCATCATTGACGTACTCTATGTTCTTGCCACTCTCTCCACTAAATGTTGACCCATCCATTTGACATTAAATGTTGACGTTGTTGTACTTTTGATGTCTTGGTTGTTACTTGTTAGCAAGTTTTATTCAAGATGAATAATACTAAACATACTCTCAATTTTGTACTCTATTTTCTATTTTATGTTTACACATCATATTCTCATTCATCCCGCTCCCAGCACCAACCAATTTTAACTGTTATTGCTGATACCACTTGTTAGGATAAGCGCTTACCACTCACCCAAAAAATTATAGTTGGTAGCAAAAACACAACTTATTTCCTTATTTATAAACCATCATCACATTGACCGAGATAGACTGATTGCTGAACTTGGTCCTTAGGGACTTCACCGACTTCCCTAGTAATCCTCTCGTCACGACATGGCTCTTTTACTGGTCCTGCCTAACAATATATATATATATATATATATATATATATATATATATATATATATATATATATATGTGTGTGTGTGTGTGTGTGTGTGTGTGTGTGTTTGTTTTGGTATTTCAATGCTAATAGTATATAAAACTTAGCTAAATGGACAAGTTTGAATGGTGCATATATAATATAGGGAATGGTGCTTTTGACAATGGCGGTGTCGATAAAATTCTTGAAACCAAGCTGCGACAATGGCGTGTGCAACAAGGCGACCACCTCGCAGATCACCTTCTTCTACGCATCTCTCTACACGATCGCCATCGGCGCCGGCGGGACGAAGCCCAACATTTCCACCTTCGGCGCCGACCAGTTCGACGACTACAACTCGCAGGAGAAGAGCCTGAAAGTTTCCTTCTTCAACTGGTGGATGTTCAGCACCTTCGCCGGAGCTCTGCTGGCCACCATCGGACTTGTTTACATCCAAGAAAACTTGAGCTGGGGATTGGGCTATGGAATCCCCACCATTGGGTTGATTCTGTCTTTGATTATATTCTACATTGGGACTCCATTGTACCGGCACAAGAAGAGATTGAATCGGTTTCCGGCCCGGAATTTGCTCCGGGTGCCCGCCGTTGCCTTCGCCAACCGGAAACTCGACCTCCCTTCCGACCCGTCGGAGCTCCATGAGTTTGACTCTCAGTACTATATTAGTACCGGAAAACGCCAAGTACAACACACTCCAATATTTAGGTATGCCTTCTACATTACATTAATAGGTGGCAAATCAACCATTTTTATCAAAACAACCTAACCAAAACATGGTTCTTTTGGTCCTTTAAGGTTAGGTAATATTATTGTTTGTTAACCATCTATAGCTACTTAGCTTATTTTCAAAACACTACCTAAAATAGCATTTTAAAATAAGCTCTTATTTTAAGTTACTAGCTTATTTTAAGAACATTGTTTACCAGAGCTTATAGCTTATTAATAGGTTAAAATAAGGTATAAGCTCTTAAATAAACTTTCCCAGCAGTTAACTACAGTCTAATAACTTATTTGTGTCTAATTAATCTAGGTTCTTGGACAAGGCTGCAATCAAGCATGGCAAGGTTAGTCCGCCATGCACGGTGACTCAAGTGGAAGGGGCCAAGGTCGTTCTAGGAATGGCTATGATATGGGTCGTAACCCTAGTCCCCAGCACCATCTGGGCCCAAATCAACACCCTCTTTGTTAAACAAGGCACCACCCTGAACCGCCACATAGGCGGCTCAGCCTTCCAAATTCCGGCAGCCTCACTCGGCAGCTTCGTCACCCTCTCCATGCTGGTCACCGTCCCTATGTACGACCGCTACTTGGTCCCGCTAATGCGCAGCAGAACCGGCAACCCCAGAGGCATCACGCTGCTCCAACGCCTAGGAATCGGCTTCACCATCCAAACCGTCGCCATCGCAATAGCCTCGGCGGTGGAGCTCCGGCGGATGCGCGTCATCGCCGCCCACGGCATCACCGGCCCCAAAGAAATCGTCCCCATGACCATCTTTTCCTTGCTGCCGCAGTACGTCCTCCTGGGCGTCGCCGACGTGTTCAACGCCATCGGGCTGCTGGAATTCTTCTACGACCAGTCGCCGGAGGACTTGCAGAGCCTCGGCACGACGTTCTTCACGAGCGGGATCGGGATCGGAAACTTCTTGAACAGCTTCTTAGTGACGATGGTGGATAAGATCACCGGACGAGGAAGATCCAAGAGCTGGATTGGGGACAACATTAACGATTCTCACTTGGATTATTACTATGGATTCCTTCTGGTCATTTCAATCTTGAATCTGGGCGCATTTATCTGGGCATCAACAAAGTATATCTACAAGAAGGAGCTGACGGAAGTGAAGGAGGATTTGGAACTGGACAATGACAAAGCCATAGAAATCCAGCTCCCTTAGCTTAAAACATATATATTTCATGCCCACAAAATTAAAGGCCAATTCAAATTTCCTCCCCTTTAATTTAGGCTGTATCTATAATCTAAATGTTTAGTTGTTGACTATCATATGTTAAAATAGGAAGTATTATCTACATTGTATTAACATATAGATAGTTTTATACGGAGTCCTAGCTACTATTGTAATCGTTCATATATTATAATTAAATATATGTGTTCACCATAATACAAAGTACAAATGTATTTGTGATTGGATGAAGGATTGGTTATTTCTTTTGGCACTTTTTAATTATGTGTGTAATGAGTGTATTTGGCAAATTATGTTGTGCATCCGTGTACACCATGCAGGGTGCACACGGATGCAAGAACGACGTCGTTTTGATTAAAAACGTGCGTCCTACTTTTAAAAAAAATTCAATTTCGATTCCCAGTAACAACATTACGTTGTTCATTCATTCTAGATTTTTAGTTCATTCATTCTGGATTTTTAGTTATGAAATTATGGATGTGTAGTTATGCAATTATGGATTTATAGTTATGAAGTTATGGATGTGTAATTATCATTATGCAATTCTGGATTTGTAGTTATGAAGTTATGGATGTATAGTTATGAAGTTATGGATGTGTAGTTATGCAATTCTAGATTTATAGTTATGAAGTTATGGGTGTGTAGTTATCCAATTCTGGATGTATAATGAAGTTATAGATTTGTAGTTATGCATGCAATTCTGGATTTATAGTTATGAAGTTATGGATGTACAATTATGTAATTCTGGATGTATAGTTATGAAGTTATGTGTAGTTATGCAATTCTGGATGTATAGTTATGAAGTTATGAATTTTTTTTTTTTAAGTCAACGTCAAAACGACGTCGTTTTTGCATCCGTGCACCATACATGGTGGACACGGATGCACAACATAACGCTCCAGTGTATTTTACATCATATTTACCTATTTTAATTGCTATACCCTATACTATAATATCTTTTAAACTCAGAATTTAATTGGATCCAATTCACGAAATATGTAAAAAGAATCAGATCAGATTCAAACCGTTGAACATTAAGGCCCAATAGGAAACATCGTACACGAATCTGAGTATTTATTCTAAATTTCAAATCCTAGGTATCGGGCCTGGTCCGCCAAAGGTTATATAGCATTTTATTTGATTTTTTTTTCTTTCGAAATAAATTATTCATGTTGTATATTAGATAAATTTCGTTCTTGTGCAATAACTTACAAACCATTCAAGAGCGATAAATCGTACTAGGAAGCTAGACATTGTGTGACAGGCTCAACCAAGAGACTGTTAACAAGAATCGAATTTCTAACTAGTTGGCACAAGCTAAAATCATGTTCTACTCACTTGGCACCCCTTTCAGACCCTTTTTGAAATAATTTTTGTTTTTTTTTCAATTTTTTGAGTGACAATGAAAACTCGCAACTACTATCCGAGGTGTGCAATGGGTAAACCCCTCTTTGTGACCCCTTCCGGTAAAGGACCACAAAGAGGTAAAACAATCTCGATTGTCCATAGTTGACCGGCTCAAACCGAGAAGGCCAATAGACCGCTCTTGTAAGTTGAACTTATAACTTTGTAGTTGTTTTTTGAAATAAATTATGTCAATTATAACAGGTGCAGTGTACCAATATGATACATGAATATTCAATTTGATTAGTTTTGTGTGAAACCGTGTCATATGAGATATGTAATTGTATTTTTCTTAACAAATATGTAATACCAATACACTTTTTACGCCTCTACTCTATTATATATATATATATATATATATATATATATATATATATATATATAAATTACTAAGTAATGTCTCTAGAAAGTTGCATATGTAGTTGTTTGTATCAAAAGATTGGATTTTGGGGAAAGTAAAGATGTACATTATTTAGGTTTTTTTTAAATTGGAGCATGCAATATTCAATTAAGAGATCAATGGGAATTTGTGTAATGGCAATATAAGTATGATGCATGCCACATTTTGAAGCAACCATGACCTTAGACCAAATTCCATCACTTATTTTATACAAAAAAAAAAAAAAAAAAATTTTATGACACTTGAAAATGACTTCAAATGATAGAGACAATCAAATTAAGCTAGAACCTAGAGGCACAATACTCAACCAAATATATATACATCAATGTTTTGTGTTAGGTTGCAATTCTTTCCTCATGTAGTACTAGAATTTTCATAATTTCTATATTATGTATTATAAAATAAGAAAATTTTAAGGTGTCAACCAATACCCGTGCCTATTGCATTAGATGCAGTCCATAGGTACCGGTAGTGATTGGCACTGTAAACTTGTTGTATAAACTGATATTGTAATTTAAAATTATAGGGGTATTCAAATCATTAGTGTTACTAGGAAATATTTTGGTGTTGCCTACTCCCGTATTGTCATGTTAATTTTTTATTTTTTATTTTTTATTTTTAAAAAGGAACCCGTCACAAAAGGTCACAAATTCAATTATTGTCAACATTCTCCCGATCAAGTTCGTTGCACCAATTCTCCCTACTACAATTTACCTCTCAAGTGTGGTTTGCAAGCTATTAGACATGAGTGTGATTTACCAAGTGCATACTCTCAAGTCTCAATAAGTGGTTGCAGGTTTCCTCGTCATTCAAAAAAGAGAGAAAACAAAAGAAATAAAGGGACATTTTAGTCATATATCAATCTTTTCTTTTCTTTATGTTTTTAACCACTAGATGTAACCAAAATACTTTCATCTATTTTACATTGACATTGTAAAGATTTTCTTGAAATTTTATTAATTAGTTTTATGAATATAATTTAGGATATGTACCTCAAAACATTTTTAAAATTCAGATGGTTACAATATCACTAGATTCACTGCATGATAAATGAATACATATCTAATAACGGAGTATATACATTATAAATTTAAAAAACAATTAAACTCTTATGCAATATGCAATATATAATTCTTTTTCTCATTTCTTTTTCAAGAAAAAATTTTAATATTTAGAATTATTAGGGTTCCCGCATATTAAAGCTAAGACAACCAAGAAGTTAAACTAAGGAAGCTAGGCAATGAAAACAAAAAGAGAAAGTGAGGAATGAAGTTGTGAATAAGCTAAGATTGTTTACATTGTTAATTAATTAAGGTTGTTGCTTTGCTTACTCCTAAGAAAGGTTGAACTCCACACGCCAAGGAACACCTAAATAATACAAATATATGAACAAGCAATTGGCAAGACTGTTCATCCACCCTATTAGATTTGTCGTGAGCATTAGTATACAAGCATTAGGTATATAAACTAGTTGAGGTATATCTATCGATTTACCTTCTCCCGTCTCCACTAGTTACTATGGTAAGAGCTATATATGAAGATCGGAAGAGTTTCAACCTTAACTTAGTTATATTATCCAAACATACATACTTACCTTATACATACAAATTATCTAAGATTTATTTTTTTTAAAAAAAAATCAAATAACGACTATGCGGGAAACACAATATAACTAGAACTCAGAACCTCATCTCATCCTCCCTTAAAACCTACTCAAAGGAGAAGGTATGGTATGCATACAGATTCATCTAAGATTTTTTTTTTCTATCTTAATTTTCGGATCAAAAGATTACTTGGACAGAAAACACTCCAAAAATGAACTAGTTACAACGAACAGGAACCACATCTTATTCTTAAGAGAGGGACATGTTAGAATCTCAGTCCGGGTATTGACTCTTTGTGCTTAGTAGATGAGAAAGTATATATGGACAAAATTTTACATTATAACAGAATCAGTAGAAATTAAAAAAAAAAAATAGCATACAAATTAAAAAGTGGAAAGGATCGGAAAGACATAGACTAACCAACAACCCTAGTCAATGTATGTATATGTGAATATATAACAAATGAAACTATAATCCATGTAACTAAATGTCTTCTCATCACATATATATTTATAACAATATTATTAAACATTATTGTGTTACCAATGATCATTATAGTACTGACGATGATACCAGGCATCAATCACGTACGTTTTGTTGTTCCATATATGTAATTAATAAATTAAAAAATCATGATAATTGATAATCAAAACCTATATAAATATAATAATGTATAGTAATAATTAATCAAAATATGATATGTTCTCACTCGAGATGGTGCCAAAATCAGCATTATCAGGGGCGGAGGGCGCCGGGGTGTACAACGAGAAAGATGCCGATCTAGGGAGCAGGACCGGCGGCGGCAGATGCGGCGGCGGCGGAGGTGGTAGAGGTGGCGGCGCCGCCGCAATAGAAACGGCACCGGAAGTAAGGAAGAAGGATACCTGAGGTGACGGAATGATGATATTGGCGGCGGATTCCCCAAACTTATATCTCATTATTTCTGCCCTCACTTCATTAAGCTCCGCTTGTAAAGCTTGTACCTGCTGCTGTAATGCTAAAATGGTTCCCATGCAGCCATAAACAGGATCTCTTAGCCGCAAGTTCGCTTCGTATACTAAGCTGTTCGCCGCATCTGCTCTCAAGCTCTCTGGAACATCCTGGGATAGATAGATAGATTTTCTAGGATGTGTTAGAAGAATACAACTAAAAGATTCCCATGAATAAAAGAAAAAAACAAAAATTATGGTTTTCTGAGTAAAATTTGCGCAATCGCTACTTGAATGTTCGTTTTGGGTGAAATTTGCTTTATAATTCAAGTCGAAAAAGGGTCTGAGGTAAATCAGCCCTAAATTGCCTATAACTTTTCAACTCAAATTAAGATAAATTTGAAACTTTGTGGTTACAAAATTTACAATCTGACCAATTTAACTGGGGTTGTCCTTTAAATGGACGGACTTATCATGAATTCTTGATCTATGATGTTTTATCTTCATTTCCATGTTCATATTGGTACATTTTGAACTACTATACAATTGATAGGACAATTTTAATTTGAAATACCCTTTATAATATAAAGTGAAATTTATAAAATTTGACTTTTTTATGGTGCCTTTAATACAACCGGGTAAAATCATATATAATATTTTCAGTTATATCAAGTATTATATATTAGTATAATACACATAATTGTACATGTACTATGGATACTAATCTTGATAATATAGGGAAATTCTTAAATTTGAGTGGGTATAAGTTGTTTCACACACACACATATATAAGGTTTTGAAGAAATTAGGGTTTTTGTTGTTATTACCATGAGCATCTTGGAAACGTTGCTAGCACCGAAAACCTTGTGAACGGAAGCGAATTTGTGGGGTTCAAGAGGGGAGAAGTAGGGAGAAAAAGGGCATTCTTGAGCACAACGGCGTCGGAGGAGCTTACAGGCGGCGCAAGGTGTAACGGTGTTTAGGGTTCCGGCGGGCCCCAATACATTATGCCTTCTTCCTAATGCCATTTGAGAGAAGTCATCACCTTCGCGCTTTATCTTCTTCCCTATTTCTTCATATCTCTCCCTGCCGCCACCCACCCGCCGCCGCCGCCGCCGCAAATGAAACACAAAAACACAGCTTAGTTAATAAATTATTTTCAAAAATAAAAACAAACAAAATGATCAAACTAACAAAAATGGATTTTTTTTTTTTTTTTGATACATGAGAAAAATAAAAAAACACGAAAAATATTAGAGTAGTAAGAAACAAGATTAAAATATTTGGGTTCTACAAATTAAACTTTATGTTTTTCTTTATTTTAGCTCTCTTTTCTTGTTTTCACGATGGAAGTGGAGAGAGATAGATGATTACCTTTCTCTGGACATTCAGGCATAAATGCTGTCTGATCTTATCTCTGTATGGCCGGCCGGAGCTAGCAGTGGCAGCTAGGTTTAGGAGAGGGAGAAAGCTAAGAGATCGAAAGGTGATTTATTGCAGAAGACAGAAATATATATAAGTTGCTTAGTTAGGGTTGTTGGGGTTATGGTTGGGAGGGAGGATGGGGGGGGGTGGGGGGGGAATATTGATATGGGTAGGGGTAAGCAAAGAGTGCTTAAAAGTTAAGGAATACAAGAAAACGATGGTTTAGAAACTGACAAAATGGAATATAGATATGTGATGATTTCAGATGATTCTGAAAGATGGCTGCAAAACCTAATAGGTGATCAATTGCTTTGCTGTCTCATAAAAACATATTTGCTTCTAATATCATAGTCCGTATTAAGTGAAGCCTGGTTAACCGAACCAGACACATAAAATAGGACGAAGGGAGTATTAAGGGGTGCAGAACAAGTCTATTGATATTAGAAGTGTTCATTGTGACTCGATTCCGGATCATTGTTCTCAAACTTCATCTCAGTGACCAACTGAGCTGCTCATGCGAGCTTTGCTCACTCTTACTTTACTTTTAAGGTGGTCGCCAGTAACGACCTGATCTGCCACGTCCTCTATTAGTTATTAGTGACTTATAATTCTACGGACCATTCAAGTTGACAAAAATCACGATTTTTAATTTGTCCCAAAATTCCGATTTTGGGCCACTCAAAAGTGGACAAAAATAAGGGGATTTTCCACCGTGTTACTTTTAGAGATTTGACAATTAGTATACATTTGGCAGGATATATAGGCATATGCACAAATATGAATATGATTGAGGTATACAGAAAATGATGGAACACCACAATCCACATACACAATAACTTAGACTTGTAGTTTGCATAGGCTCTGCAGCTTAGCTTCTTTAATTTGCTAGTGAAACAAATTTAGGCTTACACACAAGCTTGCTAGGTTGGGGACATTTCACCTCTACCTTCCCAATTTATGTCTACTAATAATGTTGAACCATGAATCTTGCCACTAGTACTTTCTTTAACTGTTTCAACTTTCACTACACTTTCATTATTTAGACACTGATTGATAATGTTACATCAATTTTGGTAACTATTTGATAACAATGTTTCTTCTATATATCACAATTAAGTAGTCAGAGCTGATGAGATAGTGTGGGTCTCTTTTATCTTAATTAAAGGTTTTGATTTTGAGTATTAGAATGCAACTACCTCCTTAAAACTCATGAAGGGGCGTTTCGCCGCCATTTGTGCTCCTACTCAGCACGAACATATATGATTAGTCTTGGATGCTTTGCCACCCTTTGAAGTCTTACTTGAAGTGAACATGATTAGTTTTCGTGTGTAGTTGTTAGTCAATTGACTGAGGAAACCTGATATGTATCGAAAGAAAAAAAAAAAGTTACTTTAGTTATATTTATCAAATTGAGATTCAAATATCATAAAACAAATCCTATATTCCATAACAAAATAATTGTTTAGAAATATAGAATTGGGAATGTATTATAATAATTTACTGTAATATTGATAGAGTGTAATGGATATTGGATAACCTTTATATTGGTCAAAACATTTTTTTTTATCTTGCCAACACATTCTTGATAGAGCTCGCTACACAGAATACAGTCTTTCTTTTTGATATTTTTCTTTCATGTGTGATTTATGAGTTATAACAAAGAAATGACGTTTATTCATTGCACATCCTTCGATAGTTATTGCAGGTTTATTTCCCTTGTCATACAAAAATATATATATATATATATATTTTAGAGTTTATTTGTATATGCAGTGTATGTGCAGAATTGCTGGCTAAGACAGGCCAGGACTGTTAGACAGAGACTGGAAGTTTTGCTTGGGAGTGAACTTTGTTAACTGTTAAATCAAAGTGGGTGATGAAAAGGAGCTAAGGAATTGCTACATACAGATAATATAAAGTGTAATATAATAATGTAATATTATATATATGTATGATAAACTAAAATAACATATTAATTGGGAATTAATGTTGAATTATTATAAGGCATAAATTTGCTTCAACTGTAAGGGAATGGCATTCCCATGGAATATAATAGATTCTTGTTTGACCCGTATTTTAAGGCAAATACCCCTCCCCAATCCCCATTGTTCATTGCCATTTAAAAAAAAAAAAAGTTAAAATAATTTATCCCAATTTTAAGAATCTCCACCTATTTTTACTTGAAATTTTGGTAGACTAGAAAAATTATTGAATGTACATCAACGACTTACAAGTTACCTAAAGTGCTTGCACAAACGTAAACATAACGCAAAGAAAAAAAAATTACACCTCAATAATGACCTATCGAGGGATCCGAGAATTTGCATTATGACGGGTGGTGCGTCGTACACTTAAATATGAAACTAATGAAATTCAGAGAAAATATGTGAAAGTGGTTAACATATACTATGCCAAGAAAACAAGATACGATCGTGACTTAAGATTAAAGGATTCAAAGACTGAAAGAACGGAAAAAATAACTATTCATAATAAAGTATTGGTTTAGATTACTAGATCCTAGATAGACATGTTCTTAGGAAAACATGCATGTTCATGTGTCGACAACTAATTGAATTGATTGACAATACAAATTGACCATTTGCATCTTTGACACATCATTCAATGGCATTTGCTCACTTGCTTTTGACTAACATACAGTGTTAGAGTACCTAGCTAGCTCCGTGAAGATTCATGTGATTTGTTTTGTTCTATGAAATTCTAAGCCTAACTTATATTTATATATTGGGTAAACTTCCCAACTGTGTAATAAATCATAGATCATACTATGAAAATTTTGTCCACTTACTTTTGAACCTTTTTTTTTTATACTCTGAATCTTTTATACTGAGTATATCACTACTGGAAATTATGGAATTTCCGATCACCTGAAATTGATCTTAAATCAAGTCGAAAGCCTTGTTCTGACCACTTTTGGTATTCGGAAAAACCTTTGTTGCTATTTCCGATCACTTTTTAGACTTTTTGATATCAACTTAATTTAAGATCATCATTTTCAGGTGGTCGGAAATTCCATAATTTCCAATAGTGTATATATAGTTATATACACATGCAAGCATGCTTACATACATATATACATACATACTATTTAAATGTGATGTAATGGATGGGCCAGAAGACACTGTTGCATGGAATGTAAATGGCCTAATATATACAAGCTAGGCCCAACCTCAACTTAATGACAAATTACTCTATGGACTAGGGTCCACTTTGCAAGGTGGAGCCGAGTAAAAAAAATATACAATTTACATATTAAATGTTTACAATTTATCTTTTAAAAATTTATAATTTGTGATGAACGTGTATTAATATTGTATTCACAAATTCTTAAAACATAGAAACATAATTTATATTCTAGATGTTCACAATTTCAAAACTAAAAATATAGAATTTAAGAGCATGGTCCACCTTAAAATGTAGACCCTGGTCCATGGTATAACAACGGCAACTAATTGATTATTTCTACCCCATTTAGCACCAATTAATCATCTCGACAAGGTCAATTAATTAATTATTACTCCTTTGTACTATTTTACGAGTCTTGTATATTATTCACTTGTTAGTTTAACTCTTCTCCTTTAAAAAAAAAAAAAAAATCTTATAATTTTTAAATTCGTTTTCCCTTTTGTTTAATAGTATTTTTAAAAAATATATAATTCTAAAGGAAAATAATAAATGGATGGATTCTAAGAGCATCCACAATTGTAGAATATAGTAGTATTTCGGTTAGCGTTGAAAAAAAAAATAGAAGAAGAGAGAATTTAAAATTTGTGATTTTTATAAAGCATACAACCCAAAATATCAATGAATTTTCAAATTATAGTATGATGGAAGAGTATTAATTGAGCCTCACGAGATTTTTTTTTTTTTTTTGTTTAATAAAAATAAAGATATAATTATATGTGTTTGTTGAATGGGCAAATAAATGGGCAATTGGGCATAGTAATATATGGCTTGGTTTCTACACTACAGATACATGCACGAACCTCTACGCTACGGCAATATATAATATATTAAATGTGGATTCATTATGGTACAAACATACATTTGAATCCATATATGTCGAAGGATCCATTCTCATTCTGCAGTGTTACGTTGTTGATTAAGGTTGGCCCCTTGTCACCTACTAATGTTGCTCAATTAACCACATGTAGTATATATGTCCTCTCTTAGGCTTACAAGAGACATAGATGGGGTTATGATGAAGTAATTAATGTTTATCATTACGCTAAAAGTTATAACTAATTTAGTAAATAATTTGTAATTTATATATATATATATATATATATATATATATATATATATATATATTTGTGTAGCTGTTAGCGCCATGTTTCGATGGCAAGACATGGGACTCAACCAACTCTCTAAGTTTCAGTCCAACAGTTGAGGTGAGGCTAGGAGGGAAAAATCTAGCATTATGTCATTTAAATGTGGCCTGGAGGACAAAATCTAAATCAAGCGTTTACCACTACGATGTCAAAGTTATAGCTAGTAAGGAATGTGTAACTTTATTTACATATACGTGTATAATAGTCAGCTCCACGTTTCAATGATTGATGCTAGACTTGGCCCGGCCCACCAAGCCTTTACCAACCGTTGGTTTGAGGTCTGGAAGGCCAAATATTCAAACGTAATGTTTGTTGCTACATAAATATAAGAAAATAAAGTTGCATCTTCATTACTAGCTAACTATAACTTTTATCATGTGCATAGTGGTTGGGCGGATGTTATTCGTAACAAATGCGTAATTATATTTTCTTTTATACTTGCATAGCAGTCAATGTCACATTCCGCTGTCACATTCCGTGGCAAAATGATGGACAGAACTTACAAAGTCTCTGCCCAACAAATTGAATCACTTAAAATTAACATTACAAAATCTGCAGTTTGGACCCATAATATGATTTGACAAATTGAAAACAATACAATGAGTAAATAATTTATTTAAATAATGATCAAATTATTTAATATAATTAATTAAATTGCCAAACATGTTCTTGAATTAAATAAAGGCAGGACTAGATCTCACTAAAGCATAGCCATAGAAGAGCAAGTTGGAAGTCAAAGGAGGACAATTTACCATATTAATCTAACATTTTTTTTTTAATGAAAACGATGAAAATATTATTATATAAATTATTTATTTAAATTAAAATTATTCCATATTATAATTAAATAAACAATTCATGCACCGGTCTCTATAATTTTTTTTTTTTCAAAACAATAAATATATGCATAATACAATTAAATTATAATTTTTTGAATCAAAATGAAAGGTTATAAGGGAACAATCAAACAACACCACTGAACATGCACCCTCCTTCATCAGCAAATTAAAAGACTTTATGGTCTAACTAATCAGCTTAAAACTAAAAATACTTGGAAAATTGTAGTTATAGATGAAGAAAATAATTTTATTACTAGGAAGTTAAACACAAAAACAAAAATATTTGATTATATTTCATTTGGCAAGACAAGATGGATTCATCCCAGAAGTAGAAAAAGACCATAAGGCTTTTGGTGCCTATGATGGATTATTATTCAGAAAATTACAAACCGACAGATTTTAATGAAGTACAAGGCGAACATCATCATATCATGTCCTTACAGAAATTAAGAATGGATTAAAAGACGCTAATATTGTTCAAGCACAGCCATGATGACCGGCGAACATGGAAGCTCTTGGACCCACTCTCACTTGCAGCCGCTGCGCCGCCGTTACCACGGCCGCCGCCAAAGCACAGGGTTGAAGTCGGAGAAGCTTCATCATCTCTGAATAAGTCCTCAAGCCTCAACTGGAAATCCGACTGCGAGCGGTGTCTCCGGCCGGTGAGCGCCGCCGTGGGGGCGGAAGACGGCAGCGAGAACGACGACGAACACGACGACGAAGAAACCGAGGAAGAAACATTACTGAAGAAACTGGTTTTCTTGGAAGAAAGCTTGGAGAAGAAAGACGGCAGTCTCGAGGAGGAGGAGGAGGAGCGGCGGCTGCCGGACTTCAGCTCGGCGGAGGACTGGTACGACGGCGGAGGAGTGAGCGGCGGGAGAGACGCGGCGGAGAGGGGGTGTTTCGGGGTTCCCGGCTGCGATTCCCACCGGAAAGGAATCGAGCCTTTGGAGGAATCGCCATAGTAGAAGAATCTGAAAGACGACTCACCTTTTATGGAAGACGACGATGATTTCTCCTTGGATAAAAGCCTGGAGAAAAACTTGTCATCTTGCTTGATATGCAGGGATTCTTGACGATGATCATGGCTGCCGCCGTTGAGAACTTTCTGGGTATTATGGGCTTTGGATTCTCTGGTTTTCATATTTTTTCTTTCTTCAAGTCAATTATCTCAGCAGATCTGAATGAGGAAGAAGATACAATGAAGAGTAGGAAACATAGTGAGTGATGCCATTCAATAATATACTTGAATAATTATATAGTTATTAATTTAAACAGTTTGGGCTTTGCATACATTAATTACAGACATTATTATAGTATATTGTAGCCATGCAAGAATTGATTTTTATTGTATGGACACCTCTTAAATCATATTTGATTTGACTAGATCTAACTCTATATATTGCTTTGGATCCCATGAGAAGACACCTTAGTAGAAGACACCCTAGTAGAAAACTAAGAACAAATCTCAATCTTACATACTACTGTAATACAATTCCCACCAACGGGGTTCGATCATGTGACCGTCCTTCGAGGAGAGCCATAGAGGTGCCATTTGAGAACAAAATATTTAGCAAAAAGGTTAAATTTTAAATCCAAACCATAAATGTTACGGTTCACCATGTCAAGAGGCCAACGAATCATGTAGCTCATGTGCTTGCACGGACATCAGATTCTTCGTCTGTCCTAGGGTCGTGGATTGATAATCCGCCCTATTATATTTCTACTCGGTTGAGGTATTAATGATCGTTTGGTTTCAAAAAAAAAATAAAAATCCAAACCATAAATGTTAGACCCTAAGCAGTAAAAAGTGAACTAATAAACCAAATAAAATAAAAAATTTAGTCCTAAACTCTAAAATCGAAACCTTTAAGTGCAATATACTTTCGCATTTTTACAAGTTCAATCTTTTAATATTAAATATGCAATATTAATACTAAATGTGCAAATCTTGAAAAAGTCTGAAAATGGCAGATTTTAGTGTTCAAGTTAGCATTGTAAAATTGATCATAATTACAAAAATACCACTACATTTTTAAATAAAAAATTGATTTGATCTATCCGATTTTTTCAAATGTAAGGCTGGAATTATATTGGTTCTTATTTTTTTTTATTAAGGACTTGTTCTCATTTGATCCTATATATATATATATTATTTAGTATGAGGTACACCTATAATAAACCTCAACTCTATAATAATTTTGTTAGTATGTACACATTTAATGGTGTTGTTGGTCTAGATATATTATAAAAATCTCAACATTTCAATTTATTTTATAAGGGGAGTGACTGATTTTATTTATTTATTTATTTTTATTTTTGAGGCCATTGATTAAGGATGTTGACTTGGATGGATATTTAAACAATGAATCTTCTCTTTGATTTATGAGAAAGTCCATACTCCTATTCAAAAGTGGAGTCTGGGTGAAACTCACGTTGTGACGATCCTAGCGACTTAGTTAGCCAACAAATAATTACAAAAGTCTAGACTATCCATAACTGACCGATTTAAATTGAGAATGCTAATAGACAACTTCCACGTATCAAAAATCAAACTTGAAGCCTTTTAAAATATATATATATACAATGAATCCCTCTCTGATCTGATGATGAAATGAATAAAAGCCATGTATAATAAATTTTGTCACAGGCCAAGTGGGGCTGAATAAATTAAATGAAAATTGGGCACTGTAATAGTACGTGTGGTCCATGCCCATTTTGGGCACCTGTATGGCTGTATGTTTCCTTAGTTGGGGAGGCGATGGCTTACTTACATCCATGGCTGCCTGCCCGGCCCGCCCTCTTCTTCCTCCCCCATTAATGTTACAACTGTCGATGGCAACTTTGCATGCATGTCCTATCCCAGAAACGTTTTTGGGATGTTAATTTGAAATTGAATTTTAAATCTTCGCAAATGTAATCTCAAATGAATTTGGATCTCGAACATTATCGAATATGAATTCTTTTATGGTGTTGTTCGACATCAATACTAACAATACTGAACTCACTCACATATATATATTAATAAAAAAAATTAAAGTAAAATATATTATTGCCAAGACCTTGTGGTCTAATGACACCCAAGTTAGGCTTCTAGGTCGTGAGTTTGAGCCTCAGTAGAGGCATTATTGGCTCTTAATACTACATTATAGTAGAGTCAGTAGCATTCAAAAAAAAAAAAATAAAAGAGAAAAATATATTATATATTATTTGTTAATTTTAAAATATTTACACAATGAGGTCGTTGTCTACATTAATTAGAATTGGAATTATAGAGTGATAGCACATAAGAGATGTATAATATATATTGGCATTAGATATTGAAACCCTTTCAATCAATTAAGTTTCAATTATTTTTCACTTGTTGTAATATATATCTCCTTAAATTATTTAGACGCATCAAAATTATCATATCTACTCATCGTTATATCTCATGCTTCCACTACTCTCAAATTTCTTATTTTTAATTTACAATTACTTTCGTCACAATATAGGCTCAATTACACTTAAAAATTATAATTGATATAAAAAACACAACTTTATTTTCTTATACTTACATAACAGTCAGCGACATATTCTGCTGACAGGATGATAGACTCAACTCTATTATAATGGGAAAAATGGTCAAATAGGCCCTCGAACTTTAACTTATAAGTCAATTAGGCCCCTAAATTTTTTAAAGGTGCAATTACACGCATCAACAATTCATTTAGGTGCAATGGAACCCAAAAACAAGTTAATGACCTGTTCAGGCCACCTTCCGGCAAAAAAGTGACCCGGTCGCCGGTCACTTTTTTTTTTTTTTGCTGAAAATTTTGCCGGTCGGTCGTCGGTCACTTTTTTTTTTGTCGGAAGGTGACCTGACCCCTAATGACCTGTGATAGCAGGTCATTAACTTGTTTTTGGGCTTCATTACACCTAAATGAATTGTTGATGAATGTAATTGCACATTTAAAAAGCTTAAGGGTCTAATTGACTTTTAAACTAAAGTTTAAGGGCCTATTTCATCATTTTCCCTATTATAATTAATAGCAAACCTTCCTTACATGAGTCATAGACCTTCCCTACATTAGTGGTCCTCCATAGTCCTTACATTATGCGTGGTCCAGCCTAATTATTTGTACTTCATTCTATTGGTTGAAAATTTTGTCTTTATTTATTTATTTATTGTTTTTTCTTTGTTTGTTTTTGTATATGTATTTTAGAGGGCCCAAAATATCTCAAACAGAAAATATTGGATTAGTGAGCTTCAGGCCCGATCAAGCCCGAATCAGGGGTTTTTTCCTTCTAAATCTCCTAGTGGATATTTGGGCTCATGTATTTGTTTAAACTCTAAGACACTTAAACTCATAAATTATTTCTAATTCGCTATACGGGCTTGGGTTGGGCCGATCGTTTAAAAATATGATGGGCCTGTTTAGTAACATAGTTAGCTTATTAGTCAATTTTGACTTATTTGACCACTATTAGTTGTTTAACTTGATTAAACAATCAATATGAGGGTTTAATTAATTAGTTTTTTGTAACATCTTATTTTTTCGATCAGCTTTTTGAGAAAGTCATTTTGCATGTAATCAGTTCGCACAGTTAATTTACTAAACACTTTTCTACAATAAGTTAATGTTATCAAGAAGTCAAACTCACTAACCCAGCTAACAGCTAATAGTTATTTACCAAAAATCTGATATCCAGTTTCCGAAAAACACACATCCCTCACATTTCTTTAAGAGAGATTTTTTTATTTTTTTATATGATAGCATTACAATACGATGTTGTCGGCTGTCGGGGGCGATAATCACGCAAATGGTTTGGGCAATCAATTGCGTGCATAATCATTCACTTCCTCGAAGCTCCTATCTCCGCCATACGTGCATGTTTTTGTGCTTCAATTCTGCTTTTTTCCCTTGTGCTTTAATTTGCTTTTTCTCTTAATTGTTTTCCTTAGTCAAAAGATCACTAATGGTGTATCCATCTTTACTTATTTGTCTATATGTATATCAACCTTGTTCACATAATGTTCTTTTTCCTTTTGCAAAAGACAAGTTTAACAAATGTTCAAAGTAACATAGACATTATATAATACTAAGTTGTTGTTTACTTTTTGTTTGTCACTCAAACAGTACTTATATGAGATATATAAAATAGGGAGAAGTCGATATGCTTGAATACATTTATCAATTTGTATAAACCATTCATTATTAAAGGGCACTCGATCGACCCACTATTTTTTTCTTGGGAGGCAAAAACATCTTTTTAAAGTGTTTTGTGTGAGTATGGGGGAGGAGGGCTCTGTTAAGCGGGAGGCGCTAGGCACTGATTGACCTCATGCTTGTGGGTCCGATCAGTCACCTAGACCACCGATTATAGTGATACGCTAGGCGGCTGACCAACGTCTAACATTTAGGTACCAATTAATTAGTGTCTATACGGAATTTTTGCAACACTGACTGAGTATCAATGGAGTTGTCCGTGCAGGCCACTCATTCCATCTCTCGAAGCTCTCAAGCATGTACACACGCACAGGAAAGAAGATTGGTTCTTGTATAGATATAATGGAAATTATGTGTACTTACTGCTTTCCACTGTCGCCTGTTACACATCCCAACATCATCATTAACATCGCGTTCTCCTGTCATGGTCAACGAGGAAATTCCACGACAGAATCCAACTAAAAATTCTTGAAAATCAACAAAAAGAAAATGGAAATCAATATGGCCTGCGGCATTGACCCTGCTGGAATTTATTGTTCCGCGCCCACTCCTCCATGAACCTTCACTTTCTGCTCCTTTCTTTCTTTCTGCAGATTTCTGCACTGTACTCCACTGGCTGTAATTAACTGTAATCCGACATTGAATTCGGGGGAAGAATAGTGGTCGGAAGAAGAAGCAGCAGCTATGGCGCAGAAGGAAGAATCCGGCACGGCTGCGGCGGCGGACACTAAGAATGTTGTGAGCCCGAGGGTGGAAATCGATACCTCGCCGCCGTTCGAGTCTGTTAAGGAGGCTGTCGTCCGGTTTGGTGGGAGTGGCCCTTGGATTCCCCACCACTTGCTCCGCCTTGCTCCTCCTCATTATCCTCCCCAAGTAAGTATAACACAACCACCATTCCACTTGATTGTTACTTGTAGTCCCCGGCATATTATTGATCAATTCAAAGAAAATTGATATCTTTAAATTATGATGGGTAATTGTAGAGTGTAAGGTTCGATTCCTACTCATAGGAGGTATAGAATTTAGTCATTGTACACCCTAGTGTACAAATATCGAATCCTCCAAAAAGTCTCTCATTAGAGGATTCTGAATTGTGGCGCAATCCTTTTTTGATTTTTACCCGTTTTCCCAGCATAGCTCATCCCTACCAGTAGGGGTGACAATTTTATGGAATTTTTTGTTGAGGAACGAGGACAAGAGAATGTATGTAATTTCCTGTCATGAACGGGGATGGAGATACCCTTTTCCGTTCCACCCCGTTCCTTAATAATGATTATATGTATGTATATAATTAAGATTTAGGTTTTAGTTTTTAAAATTAAAAGTTACACTAATTTAAGATTTTGACTAAGAGTTGATGAAGATAGATAACCCCCATTCCCGCCTAATTCATTGTGGGGAGAAATGGAGACTATTTTCAATTCCCCGTCAAAGATGGGGACGGGGCGGGGAGTGCCCTGTTGCCATCCCTACTCATCAGTCGTTGGTCTGGCCAATCCAAAGAGTTTTAATAGTAAAATTCAAGGCTCGATTCCTACTAATGGAGAGTATAGAATTGATCCTATTGTGTACACTAATGTACACGCATCTTCCACCGAGCCTCCCAAGCAGAACAGAGTCCCGGGATTGTGGTGTACACTAATGTACAAACATCCTCCACAAAGCTAAGCCTCTCGATCGAGCAAGCTGGTGGGGTCCCGAAATTGGGGTGTACACTAATGTACAAACATCCTACATCATGCGAAGCCTCCTAAGTAGGACGGGCAATTAAGGTTTCACGATTAGGGTGCAATCCTTTTTATTTTTACCCGCCAAATCCTCAATATAATTCATCACAAGGTTTTGCTAAAAAATTATATATATTATTGATAGGAGCAAGATGAAGTGTTGGATCTAAACAAAATGGAGGAGCAAGCAGTGAAGTATGAGAGGGACTTGATGATGAAGGAGCAAGAAGCCCTTAAACTCCTAAGAGAAGTGGAAGCAGCAAAGAGATTTGTTGAAGGACTGAAACTAAACCTAATGGAGGAAGTATCTGCATTTGTATCCACTACTCCTGCAGAAAAAACCCAAATGCACAAACTCTCACTCAATAACAATCCAGTTCATCAGTCTCCTGGGTATGTTCTAATGGAGTTAGACCAAGCAAAACTCGAGCTAAACAAGATGTCCATGGATCTCGCCGTGATCAGAACCTCTGTGGAGTCACTGAACAAGAAGATGCAGAAAGAAAAAGTCCTTCTGGAGACTGAACAGTTCAAGAAAATGGCCGAAGCTTCCAGGCATGAAGTGATGAAGGCAATGTCAGAGATTGAGAGGACAAAAGGCAGCCTCAAGCTTGCAGAAATGAGGCTAATTGCAGCCAAGAAAATGGAGGAAGCTGCCAAAGCTGTGGAAGCCATTGCCTTTGCAGAAAGGAAAGCTCTCTTAAACTGCAAAACCACCACTAATTCTGCAGCAGAAGGGAGGATAATAACCCTCCCTTATGAACAATACTTTGCCCTCACTCAAAAGGCTCAGCAGGCTGATAAGTTCTGCAACACAGACCAGAATATGGACAAGAAACCAGACAGTCCTAGGCTGCAGAATGATACCCTGACAGACAGAACTGATGTTCCTGTCTTCAGATCATCAATCTCAATAGGAGACATCCTTAGCAGAAAGCTGATTCTGCAGGATGATCATATCATGGTGGGGAAGCATGTGGAGAGACACACTACCAAGGGACAACATCAACAACAACAACATGTTTCATTCAGCCAAATGCTACGAGAACAAAGCGGGATCATACTGAATCCAGCAAAGTCGTCGGGGAAGGATAATGGGAGTACTACTGTGCACAAGCAGTTCATTGCACAGAGGAAGAAGTTTGGGTTTATCCAAGTTCCAATTCCTAGGCACAACAAGAAAAAGGCTCAGTCTTTGAACCAGAGATAACATATAGATGTATGTATGTATCAGACACATTATACTGTTCTTTCCCTGTGCTTGTGTGGTTTTTTGTTCACTTTTGGTTTGCTTCTCATATCATTAACGTTAGATTTGGATGTGGTTTGTAGGATTTTGTGTTGTGCTGGTATTGCTCAGAGTTACTTAGCTTTTTTCATATTCTTGTACACTTTTTTTTTTAAGAGTTCAATAGTATTTTTCAACTAGCTAGTGTTTTTCCTAACATTAGTTTTAGGTTTGTTAAGGGATCCGTGAACTCGGCAGCCCACTTGTTGGCTAGGGATGCCGTGCTCAATGCTGGTTGCAGGGAGTGGTTTTCGTCCCCTCCCTCTTTTTTTTATTTCTGATGTAATTCGGCTGAGGCCGGTTGATTTTTAATTTGAATGAAGCTTATTTCCCCAAAAAAAAAAAAAAGTTCTACTGTAATCTCTACTTTTACTCACTTAGTCAAAATTTTGGTGTTGATATTTTCCTTGGACTCACAAGATGAAGATAACTTAACGTAACATATCTTAGCTTGTCACATCAGGAGTAAAAGTGATGTAGTAGAGATTGTGAATTTATGTAGTAGAACTCAAAACCCTTGCATGCGAGAACTATAGGGACATTTAAATTCACTTGGTTGAAAATGGGAGAAAGCGGGATTTTCTTGGCGAATGTAATTTTCTCATCCAACCAAAGCAACGTCCAACTTTCATTGCATTGGGAACCACTTTCCTGTCAGCATGTGCATTATATTAGTTGGAAAATAATATATGTAAAAGCCAATAAAGTTAGGTCGAAACAAAAAAAAAAAAAAAATGTTGGTGTAATTGTTTGTTTAAATTAATGATTTATATTATTTTTTGTGTTAAAATTATTTTTTACTATTTTTTCTACTTTACCCTTCATTATTATTACTTTTTCCTCTAAATATCTCCGCATTCAATTAGTGTAAACTTTAATAACAAAATATTTCATTAGCTATTTATTATTCTTAACTTACTCATTGATTTCTATAAGAAGCAACCTTTAAAACCATCTTTTTAATTCTTTTTTCCCAAACAAGCAATGAAAAATAAAAATAAATTTCTAAATAAACTGCGCTTATTTTCATGTCACACATATATAATATTTATTTATATATTTTGATTCTAGTTCTGATTTCGGTTCAAATTTTCATCTATTACCAAACAAAAAAAATAATCTACTTTTATTAAAAACTATTCCAATTACTAAGAATTTAATTTTAATTATGATACTCCAATTAAACACTACAATATATCTCATTTAATTTTTTCCCTTAATAGTTAATATAAACATTTAAATTTTAAAATCACCAATATTTAGAGAATAGTTTTTGCAATCCATAAATAATTTATTAAAAAAAAATTAACGGTAGAAATGTAGAAAAATACAATGAATTAGGCATTTATTAGGCGTTAAATATTGTATTTGACCCCCTAATTTGGTTTCTTTGTTCCCTACAAAGAAAGTAAATTAGGGGGCCAAATACAGAAATATTTAACGCCTAATTTGCTTTCTTTCTCAACTTGAATGATAGTGCATGCATGCATACCGCAAAAATTTGTATAGTACAACTTTTATAATTTAATGTATCAAAAAATTTAACAGAAATACAGATATAAATGAACGGTACCAATCTTTCTTCACACTTATTATACTTTTAGGTTAGATTTAGATATAATGTATAGCACGATATATAATATAATATAAAGATTAGTTATATGTACGCCCAATATGCGAATAAAATTTATCCAATAAATAATATAAAATTGCACAAATATATGGTCAAAATAAATGTAAAGTTATAGATGGAATTATATGATACAACTTTAATAATAAGAGCTATTATTTTCTTACAAAGACTTTTAAAAATATGTTGAATTTTATCTATAATAATTGAAGTAATATTTTTATGTAGATCAAGGCATTTTGTACTAGGTAAGATTATCTTTATTCATTAAACATTTTTATTTTTTAAAAGTGATCCATAATAGTTATAATAATAATAAGAACTTGTAATGATTTATGTTTAATACCTTATAATTGTATCAATAAGCAAAAATACGTACAACTGAAATATATCATGCATCATTCATCTTAGTTTACCAAATATCCTATATATATATATATATATATATATATATATATATATATATATATATATATATATATATATATATATTAAAAAAAATCCATCTATATTTTTCATATCCTACAAGTTAAAAAAAATAAATATATCATATTTGTTAAAATTTTCAACCAATATTGTTTTTGAGATTCTTTGAATTGTAAATTGTAAATATACTATTATAACTCCAATTATGGATATTATATTTTTCCGTTTGAAGTCATTAGCGTATCAGGAAAAAGATATTACTTTAAATTGATAAGGAAAAAAAAACATTATTACCATACTAATCATTAACGTAAAAGGAAAAAAATATTGGATTAAATTGGTAACCATTCTATAAAAAGGGGTCACCATTTTCTCCTCTCATATCATTCACAAATCATTTTGACATCTCTCTTTCTCTCTTCCCGCTTTCATTTCATACAATAATGGCGACTATGATCACAACACCAACTGTTATCCCTGACGCGGCGGTGGTTTTCGACGCCGCCGTCCTCCGCCACCAGTCCAACATCCCGACGGAATTCGTGTGGCCGGACCACGAGAAGCCGGGCATCTACGCCGCCCGGGAATTCCCGGTCCCGGTCATCGACCTGGCCGCCTTCCGCTCCGGCGATCTCGCCGCCGTCGCGGAAACCTGTAAGCTGGTGGACGAAGCCTGCAGAAAACATGGCTTCTTTCTGGTGGTGAATCACGGCGTCGACTATGACCTCATCTCCGACGCTATCCGTGACATGGACCGCTTCTTTGACTTGCCGCTGTCCACCAAGGAAAAAGCTGCGAGAAAGCTCGGCGAGCATTGCGGCTATGCCAGCAGTTTCACCGGCAGATTCTCCGCCAAGCTGCCGTGGAAGGAAACTCTCTCTTTTAGATATTCCGACGAGAAAGAATGTTCCCACATCGTGGAAGAGTATTTCCAGAAAACATTGGGCCAAGATTTCGCTGATATCGGGTAAGTTCAAAACACATAACACCCGTAAAAATTATGAAATTTCCGACCACTTAAATAGTAAAAAGTGGTCGGAACAAGACTTTCAACTTGATTTAAGATCACTTTCAGGTGGTCGAAAATTTCATAATTTCCAGTAGTGTAAATATATACATGGTTTAATCACGTAATACTATAGTACAATAATATGATGAATATATATATATATATATATATATATACAGGGGGGTTTATCAAAAGTACAGCAATGAGATGAGCAAACTGGCTCTGGAGATCATGGAATTGCTGGCGATTGGTTTAGGCGTAAACCAAAAGCATTTCAGTGAATTCTTCCAAGAAAACGACTCAGTAATGCGACTGAACTACTATCCGCCATGCCAGACACCAGAGCTCACCTTGGGGACCGGACCTCATTGTGATCCAACATCCTTAACAATCCTCCATCAAGACAACGTGAGTGGGCTTCAAGTGTTTGTGGACAACGAGTGGCGTGCAGTTAACCCCAGCTTAAACGCTTTTGTCGTTAACATAGGCGACACTTTCATGGTACGCACTACTACGGATTCTATTACAATGGAGTATCTGTTAACTACTTAGATACAAAGAATGAGACTCGAACCCGATACGCACTACTATATTTATTCCGTCAATTTTTTATATCCAACTAATTAACTGTCAGGCGCTTTCGAATGGGATATACAAGAGTTGTATGCATAGGGCGGTGGTGAACAATATGATTCCCAGGAAGTCCATAGCTTTCTTCCTTTGCCCTCACAAGGATAAGGTGGTGGCGCCGCCGCCGGAGCTGGTGGGCTCCACTCAACCTAGGCTATATCCAGACTTCAAATGGCCGACCCTCCTTGAGTTCACTCAGTTGCATTACAGGTCTGACACCGACACTCTGCTCAACTTCTCTGGATGGCTCCAACAGAACCAAACCCCCCATGCAACCCAGGCCTAAGCAGCAGCAGGAACCACAGACTTGTTTTATCATACAATATATTGTGTGATATTTTGTTTTGTTGTTAAGAAAAATTCGCATTTACTATGTTGAGTATAGACATGTGATTGTGTTATCATCGTATTTGTTTTATTGTCAAGAACAATTCGTAGTTATTATATTTGAGTATAAGCATCATGTGATTGTATTATCATCATATATATACAATATGTTGTGTGCTAGTTTATAAATATTTTTACTCTCCGCCCCCCTCCCTATTAGGTGAAAACAATTCATTCAAATCAAATATCTAGTGGATAACATATACAATTCTTAATATTAAAGTAAACAAATTATGTAATTCCAATCATACAACAAACATTTATACTGAAATCCTAAGTTCATAATCTTAAATTATTATAAGTTCAATCCTTGATAATACCCTTTTGCTTGAGCCTGTTGTATATGCATGAGTGGATAGAGTATAATCCTGATAACATCATTTCGCTTGAGACCGTCGTATATAATCTTCATAGTACAATTTACTGGTTTACCTAGTGTACACTATGAGATCGTGACTGTAAGTTTGTTTGTACCAATTCCTCTCTGCTTGGGGTGAAATTGCATGTTATGTATTGTAATGGCAAATTATTTTGTGGACCTGAGTCTATCTTGTAAGGTGGACCCGGGTTTAAAAATTCACAATTTATAGAGTAAATACCTAAAATGGTCCCTCGACTGTATCTAAATTCACAAATTGGTCATCGACTTTCAATTTCAACCAATTAAGTCCTTAACTTTACAATTTTGACATGATTTGGTCCTCCATCTATTTGACCATTTGTTGACCGTGATCGACGATCACCAGAAAAACCATCAGCTCTCGTCGGAGCATATGGATGCCTCCAGGATGACGTTGCACCGGTTCGGAAACACGTCGTCTTCTTCGCTCTGGTACGAACTCAACTACATTGAATCCAAAGGGAGGACGAAGAAAGGCGACCGGATTTGGTAGATTGCTTTCGGCAGTGGATTAAAATGTAACAGTGTGGTCTGAAAATGCAATCGGAACCTTAAAAACCCGACGATGGACCATGAAATTACATATATATCCTCAAAAATCACAGTCAACAAACGGTCAAATAGACAGAGGACCAAATTGTGTTAAAATTGCAAAGTTAAGGACTTAATTGGTTAAAATTGAGAGTCGAGGACCAATTTGTGAATTTAGCTATAGTTGAGGGACCATTTTGGGTATTTACTCCAATTTATATACTGAATGTTTACAATTTACCTACTGAATGTTCACAATTTTTATATTCTAAATGTTCACAATTTATATACTGAATGTTCACAATTTACATACTGAATGTTCATAATTTACATACGGAATGTTCACAACTTTATATACTAAATGTTCATAATTTATTACAATTTGAATTTTAAACATTCACTACATAAATTGTGAATATTGACAATTGTGTATTTTGACCGGGGTCCACCTTGTAAGGTGGACCCAGGTCCATGGCATAACTATGTCCAAATGGACAAATGGGCCAAGTCATGAGTAGAGAAAAGCCCAAAGTCTGACGGGCCAAATTTGTCAAAGTTGACCCATAGTTGACGGCCCAATAGGCCCATTCTGAGATAAGCTTCGGCCATTTATTTTCTTCCAATAGCTTCTTCAGAGCTTTTATGCCTGAAAATGGAAACAGCTCTCAGCTTCAGGAGCTCCACTTGGGTCCCAGTCACGACGTCGTTTCCTCAGTCTCATGTCAAGCTCAATTTATTGGTTAGCAACCCTTATATACCAAAACTTTTTTTTTTTTTTCCTTAAATTTCCTAATTTTTTTGAATGTTATTTTCGTATGAATGGATTTATGTTTTTGCTAAAACACAGAGATTAAAGCGCTCCAGACGAGTGCAGAATCGGCAGAATAATTGCCTGTTGATAGTGAAGTCTTCCGGGTCGAGCATCAATGGGTCTTCTGACCCGTCTCCAGTCTCACCGAACAATATTTTCGTGGAAGAGGTATTTTAATTTCACTTGATTTTCTGCAATTTAATTAATTATTCTTGAATTTGTTCTCTCAAGGTGTCAACTTTTCAGAATTTTGTTTCTGGGTAATGGGTATCAATCAGAAACACTGGGTTTTGTTTTTATTTTGGCTGAAAGGATAAAGTTTGTGAAGTTAGTGGTGATAATGGGTTAAGGATGACAAAGCCTATGGGGCTAAGTATTCTGTTTCTTATTGTTCAAATTTAATAGGCCATTGGAGCAGAATATGGAGAGGGGTTTGAGACATTTAGAGCGGATGGATTACTCAAAGTTGATGTTGTAAGTGGCAACATGTACTCTTCTATTGTTTCGTCGAGAATTGCTAAAAAGCTTTTTGTTCTCTAAATTGATCAAATTTTTATTTTTGTTTGTGGTTAGGATTTTCTAAATGATAGACTGCAAGAAGGTTTCCTTCAAAGAATCCGGTATGCAATGAAACCTGACGAAGCTTATGGATTAGTTTTCTCTTGGGACAATGTAGTGGTAAGGTTCAATATCTTGCTGGTTATTTGACGTTTTCTGCCTGCAAAAATGTAATTGAATATTCCTTCTGCTTGTGGCTAGAGGGGAGATAGGTTAAATCGATAAATCCTAAATCAACTCAAGAGTAAGAATGTTTGTTGATTGTACTTCAAAAGAATTTTGCTTGTATAAACCTGGTAGTTCGTTGATTGGTGTAAAGAGACAGGATGGATTTGAACCAAGAAATTCAAGAAATTATGATATTATAAAGTAAAACACAAAGAAAAGAAAACACGGGAATTCTAAGAATATCCCTCCAGCTAGAATAAATTCCTACCGGGCACAAACTCTGTTACATAATCACGGTCTTCCTTGAGTTCTATCGTTTGAATGATTATTTGATTACTTTCCTTTCCTGCCTGATTTGTTTCGTTCATCTTTGTTTTTTCAGGCAGATACTCATGCTCTAAGGTTGAATGCCTGGAAGCAACTTGCTTCTGAAGAAGGTGACTAGGTCTTCCTCCCTTGATTATTGAGGACTACTTACTAAGTTCTTTTTTATCTTCTAGTTACTTCCCTTCTCTTAGCCCGTTATCATTTTCATGGAGTGCATTTATCGATTTAATGTTGAAAAAAAACTGTGATATTGAAGCGTTTCCTAGTGAGGATGGGATTTAGAAGAAATATTTGCCTATAATAGCACTTTAGTTATGATGATATGCATTACTCAGGGAAGGAAATTGCCGAAGATGATAGTATGCAAAGACTTTTGCTTTATGGTGGTGTCGATCATGTACTAAACAAGGTTAGCGTCACATGATTGCTTACGTACTCTTGAATGCTTATTAAATTTCGCTACAAATTTGAAAAGTTTCTCCCATAATTTATTGCGTTTTATGCTTTAATTTCTATTCTTTTCTGATTACTTCAACTTAACTTTAACTCAGACGAAGATGACTCTAATCTTTAATACGGTTTTTACAAGTATTCTTTGATTGGCAGGTGTTGCGGTGGGAGAAGGAAGAAAATGATTTGGTTCGATTGAGGTTAAGGTTATCACAGTTATTCTGTGACAATCTACTCCAAGTAACGCCTTTGTTGACACTCCTGTATGACCAGTTTTGGAGTTTGTTGTATTAGTTCATATCTTTAGAATAACGCTTTCCCTCTTATCCAGCTCTCGAAACCAATCGAAGGGCTGAAGGAATGGCTTGATGCTATATCAACAGCACGCATTCCTTGTGCAGTTGTTTCAAATCTAGATCGAAAAAATATGGTTGACGCCTTAGAACACCTGGGGCTCATGAAGTATTTTCAGGTTCGCAATCATATTATTATCATTTAATTGCTATAATCACGTGTTGTTGAGGTGTGGGTTTGGCTGTGTTTGAGCATATAATATATAAACATAAATGTGCAATCCAACTATCAGCTTAGGCTTTTAGTTGAGATGGAACACATGCTTCAATTTGGTATCAGAGCCAACCCCATGCCAAAGGTCATGGGTTGAATCTCCATGTCACCCGATAAAAAAGAGACTATGGTCCACGTGTTGCTTGGAGCTCATTGGAGCCCATCAAAAAGTAATTGGCCCGCACACGTGAGGGGCGTGTTTGAACATATAATATATAAACATAAATGTGCAATCCAACTATCAGCTTAGGCTTTTAGTCGAGGTTGAGCACATGCTTCAATTGATCGTAATCTTCTTGGAGCTGCAGGCTATTGTGTCAGAGGAAGACGGCATGGAATCCATAGCACAGAGGTTTCTTTCTGCAGCGGTAAAGGTATGGTTGAAATAATTACTCCCAACTCCCTTCGTTTACAGCCATTACGGTCTTTATTGCCCGGAATCGATTTCTAGGAACCTCGCTTATGCTAGGAATTCTTTCGCAGTTGGATAGGAAGCCATCTAAGTGCGTGGTGTTTGAAGACGACCCTAGAGGCATAACAGCGGCTCACAACTGTACAATGATGGCTGTAGCACTCATCGGTGCTCACCCAGCGTATGTCAATCTCTTACCATTCCATTCCAGTCTTTTCTCGATGATCAGATTCTAACATTCCTCGTATCCTCACTGTTTTCCCAACCCCCCCCCCCCCCCCCCCCCCCCGGATGAAATATCATTTGTTGATTGTCGGTCTCTAGAGAAACTGATTTGTGGAGAATGAAACTTGCAGGTATCATTTGGATCAGGCTGACCTTACAGTTGGCGGCTACAATGAGCTTTCAGTCATCAATCTCAGGAGATTATTTGCGCATAAAGGCTCCAACTTTATGGACCTGGAGAAGCAAATTGTGGAGAGAACTCCCCCCAGAAGGAAGCTGAGAATTGACACCATTTTCTGATCCAAATCCAACCCTCTTTCACCTCACTTGTACATTTTTCATTAGGGTAGATCACACTCATCATTTAGGGGCTCTTTTTGCTTCCTTTATTATTATTTTTTTCATTTAGGATTTATATTATTATATATAAATAGTAGAAACCACAAAGCATGTATTTAACACA